ACGCTTACATCATCTTTCCCTCATAAAAGGCAAGCTCCACATTATTTATTGCGAGGAGCAGGCTGTGATGGGTTAGGTGTATTCCTACACCAAGAGCAGGCTGTGATGGATTAGGTGTATTCCTATACCAAGGAGCAGGCTGTGGCGGGTTAGGTGTATTCCTCCACTGAGAGCAGGCTGGGATGGGTTAGGGGTATTCCTACACCAAGAGCAGGCTGTGATGGATTAGGTGTATTCCTATACCAAGGAGCAGGCTGTGGCGGGTTAGGTGTATTCCTCCACTGAGAGCAGGCTGGGATGGGTTAGGGGTATTCCTACACCAAGAGCAGGCTGTGATGGATTAGGTGTATTCCTATACCAAGGAGCAGGCTGTGGCGGGTTAGGTGTATTCCTCCACTGAGAGCAGGCTGGGATGGGTTAGGGGTATTCCTACACCAAGAGCAGGCTGTGATGGATTAGGTGTATTCCTATACCAAGGAGCAGGCTGTGGCGGGTTAGGTGTATTCCTCCACTGAGAGCAGGCTGGGATGGGTTAGGGGTATTCCTACACCAAGAGCAGGCTGTGATGGGGTAGGTGTATTCCTACACTGAGAGCAGGCTGTGATGGGTTAGGTGTATTCCTACACCGAGAGCAGGCTGACGTGGGTTAGGTGTATTCCTACACCGAGAGCAGGCTGTGGTGGGTTAGATGTATTCCTACACCAAGAGCAGGCTGTGATGGGTTAGGTGTATTCCTACACCGAGAGCAGGCTGTGATGGGTTCGGTGTATTCCTACACCAAGGAGCAGGCTGTGACGGGTTAGGTGTATTCCTACAGCGAGGTGCAGGCTGTGGTGGGTTAGGTGTATTCCTACACCAAGGAGCAGGCTGACGTGGGTTAGGTGTATTCCTACACCAAGAGCAGGCTGACGTGGGTTAGGTGTATTCCTACACCGAGGCGCAGGCTGTCGTGGGTTAGGTGTATTCCTGCCATGTGCCAGGAAGCTGCAGTGGTAGCATCGGGCAACACCAGTGCCCCACGAAACAAACTCCAGCCTGCAAACCAAAGAGCAGAGCCCAAGGAGCGGGCAGGGAGCCAACCTGGTGTTTCAGCTTTGCAAATCTGCTGCTGTGACGCTGTTCACTGCGTTCCAAATACAGCAGACAAGTACAAGGCAGGGCTCAGGAGCCTGTATCTGGCTGCAGGTGACTAATTTAATCAGCTTCTTGTCTGCTGCTCCTTGGTGTTTTACATTTGGGCAGGAAATAGAACCTACAGTTGCGCTGGTGCAAACAACAGCGCTACCTCTGTTAGACTTGCCTTTGGAAAGCAAGAAAAGGAAGCTCAATACTAGATTACCTGCAGCAACACAAGCCCAAATAATTTTGGTTATTTATGTATTTTGGCTTTTAAAGACAGAAAACCTCACTGTGGTTGTGTCATTTCACCTCGTACTCCAGGCCACAGGTATCCTCTGCGAAGCCTTTACGCCGTGCTTGCACTGTGTGTTCTTCATTTACAGCTACGTGCTTGAAAGTTACCCCTGAAGCGAGCATTTTTTTTTCTAATGATTTCTAATAACTGCTCAAATAAAACAAGACAGCACATGAAAAAGTAGAAAATTTGGAAACTTTCAGAGAGTTTGGTCTCTATGAGCACTGAGCTTCCAGAGACAGTTTTCCAGAGGTTTTACAGTTACTTATTGAATTAGCAAAAATTAATAGACATGTAGCAGCAAAAATTAGGAGCTTGTGAAAATCCCCCTAAGCCCTTATCTGCCTCTTTAGGCAGCTAAAATCCTTTGAAAATCTGGGCTATGGGCCCAATGCTGCAGAGCTTTCTCTGTGGAAAGACTCCTACTCCTGCCTGGAGCTCATTGCAAGAGAGGTATTTTAATAGCTGGGGCTTTCAAAACAGCCTAGGGCAGTCCGGAAAAAATTAATAAGCAGCAAAGACATGGGCTCTCAGGTGACTGGTTTTGGAGACTTTGCAGAGACAGAAATTCTGATGTGTAAACAACAGAAAAGTGAGGACCAGAGATTTACATTTGACCGAACTCGAGGTCAGTTCTGCTGTTGTTGATGGTCACGTCTCCGAAAAAGGGGTCCCAGCTCCCTCCGGTGCCGCTCCGCACCCCCTTGGATGTGACAAGGTCCCTCCGTGTGCCAGGAGGGAGGATGTGGGAGTGTGGCAGAGATAAAAACCGCCCCAGAATGCAAAGTATTGGTTTTCATTGTCATTGCTTCTTTTTCCGTACTTTTTAAACCTTATTACTCACAAAGAACTTTTTGATTAGGGTGGGATCTTAGCTCTACCATCTACACTTTATCTTAGAAAAAAAAAATGAATAAATGGAATAAATGTAGCACTTGCAGAATCTACACTCTTTTTTTTTTTTGGTGAATTTCAATATAAAATACTGTCTTGACAAAAAGCTACCAAAGGGCTTTGATCTTGCAAGCCCACCTGTGTAAAGGCAGCCGGCCCCACGGCCTGGGCTCCGTGGAGGCTGCGTCGCGTCCCGAGCGCAGCGCCCGCTTCTAGCTCCTAGTGGCACCCTGCGGGCTGACACCTGGGTGTCATCTTGAATACAGTGAACCCGGGTGCCAAGCTGTGAATTCAGGTGCGGAATTTGCCAAGTTGCTGAGAGAAGACGTGGATTACCAAGCTGTGGTCCTCTTTCCTGCTCGTGAAAGGATGCGGAGGTGCACGTTAGCTGCAGTGACTGAGGGGCCCTAGGCAGGGCACATCCCTCCCCTCTGCCCCAAAAGGACCTCCTTGCACCAGAGCACACGCGTACCTCCTTGTACTGACTGTGCGTTGTGCGGCTGAGCTCTGGAGAACGCATTCCCATGGGTTTCCTTACAAGGCCAACCCCGTATCCACTCTTTCTCTACTGGTCCTTGATTTTTTTTAGCTAATTTTTATTACGCTGAAGGGTTTGATACTGTTCCTGCTCCCTCTAGTATTGCAGCACACAGAGCTGTTGTGACGCTGCTGGACAACGCAGGTATGAGAGGTTGTTCTCTCCGAGTTGCTCAGAGCTTGGTGGCTTGGCCGTATGGCTGCCACATTGTGTTGCCAGCACTTGGCATTTCTGCCATGCTGATTTCAGTTGTCTCTGTTTTGTTGTTTTTCCTCTTTTTTCTTCTAAGTGTTTTCTTTCCACTGCATGCTAGCTTCAGACGGCCATGTGTTTATCTCTGCATATTTGGGCCGCCTCTCACTTTGACATTTTCTGCCCATATTCCTGTCACCAGTTGTTTTCTCTCCTGGCTTGTTTGCTCTCGGGAGGGTTTGCAGCTGTTCTGGACTAGTTCTAGTTGTCCACGACCATATCCTGTGCTCAGTGCAGGCCGTGGCGCAGGGCAGCACCGCGCAGCTCCATGCGGCAGCCCGGAGCTGACTGCAAGGCACCAGTGCTGGAAAACCCAGCAGATGCCGGGAGTCACGAGCTTGTTCCAGGTCATCTATGGGAATGTGGGCGCCTTGGCCTGGAGGGCAGGTGGCCTCCCCACGGGCACATCGCTGCGTGGTGAGGGCCAGCGTGGCCTCCCCAAGGCCGCACTGTGGCGTGGGCCAAGGCAGCCTCCCCATGGGTGCATCGTGGCGTGGGCCAAGGCGGCTGCCCCAGGGACACATCGCTGTGTGGTGGGGACCAACGTGGCCTTCCCACAGACACATCATGGCGTGGGCCACGGCGGCCTCCCCAGGGACACATCGCTGTACAGCATGGCCCAATGTGGCCTCCTCACAGACATATTGTAGCGTGGCGTGGGCCAAGGCAGCCTCCCCATGGGTGCATCGTGGCGTGGGCCAAGGCGGCTGCCCCAGGGACACATCGCTGTGTGGTGGGGACCAACGTGGCCTTCCCACAGACACATCATGGCGTGGGCCACGGCGGCCTCCCCAGGGACACATCGCTGTACAGCATGGCCCAATGTGGCCTCCTCACAGACATATTGTAGCGTGGGCCAACGTGGCCTCCCCAAGGGCGCACTGTGGCATGGGCCACGGCAGGCTCCCCATGGGTGCATCGTGGCATGGGGCAAAGCAGCCT